CAAACTCTGTACCTATTCTTTTCTTTCTTATGCGCACACATCGCAAAGAGTGATCATTTATGTTTTAACTTTCTAAATAGATGGTAAAATATTAGGAGGTAAAATAAAAACTTTGAATTACAATTTATTACGATATACTTACTATTAATCATTTTTTATTAAATTGACTTTCTTTAAGATGTAAGAGCAAACGAAAGTAAGTAATTATTATCTCTAATAGTAGATAAAGTTACATCAAAGTTCTTTAAATTATTTAAAAATATATAATTATATAACATTCAAATTATATATCATTTATAACTTTATTAATTTTCAATCAAGTCTTTTCATAAAATTAATGAAATCAAATGATACAATTTATGACATTGCTTTCAAAAGGAGTAATTAAAAATTTATATTGAACATACATCAAGAATTTTTATGTCATTGTAGGATATGACTTTTAATATTCAATAATTACTTGTATAAATATTTAATTTTGTTGAATAAATATGTTTAGATGGATATTTGTATTTCATATATTCATCAATTGACATAATAAATAATGATAAGAGATGAATTTCAAAACTGAGTATTACATGCTTTATGACTACATTGATTTGGTGTCAAAAAAGCCTTGCTATTATGTTATTATAGGCTAAAATCATATTTATCATCGTAAAGGTTTGTTGAAGGGTGAGGCACCTTGACTACATGCCAATTATGACAAAGATCTCTAAAACATTTTTTTATAGGTACTCTTGATCCTTTAATTCTAATCTATAAGGATTTTACATGAGTTATCTTTAAAACATCTATTCCTATCTAGAATATTACATTCATAATCCACTAATATCAAGTGGACATAATTCATAAAAAAAAAAAATAATAATAATTGAAATAACCAATGTGTTTTTATGGGGATAAATCATCATTTCTCTATTTTCTAGAATGAAAAAAATGAGTTCATGTTATGAGCATTATTAGCATGTCATTGTAAGGATTTATGTTTTATATTTTCTTTTGCTACTAGAAGTGTCTCCCCTACCCAAGTATCTCTTAGAATCACATTAATCTCGAGTAGAATTTGGATAGGTTGACTAAATTTTTTTTATTTTGATTTACATGGATATTTCTCTTAACAAAATACTTCAAGTATCTCTTAGATATCAGTTTTTTAATTTCATTCTTCGATAAGAAGTAATCTTCAGTGTCATGTGTTCTTTCCTTGTGGAACATATTAAAAAAATTAGAAGAGCATGTGTGGAGGCAATGCCATGAAAGGTGGGTATTAAACAGTCTTTTATTTTGATAGCCATGAAAAATACTGTGAGGGTGATGTTTAGAGGAACAGTGTTCCTTATCTCAAGGAGGTTCATCTCACAATACATTAACGTTTTTTTATCCGGATGTGATTTTTTATAACGTATGTTACTTTTATAAAGCTTTTGTCTGGCAGAGCCTACAAACCCTTCCACGTGGAACATTCTCTTGTCTCATTTATCAAAGCTCCTAAGGTTATTGACTCACTCAATTCTTCAATTTGGAACATCTCTTCGTTGAACAAATATGTTAAATTAGGGCCCCGTCGATATATGGAAGTTGAATAAGTTGAATAGAATTGTCACGACTTGTCGGTCAGTCAAAACTCGTGGATCCTGAAGTGAAATGTCGTTTTACCTTTCTGTTTTTCCACCAGCATGGGGCACTGGTAATTGACGTTCGTGAAGAAGTTAGGTCTATTATACTATCTTTAATGAAGATGCTATTTAAAAAAACTTAAGTTGATAAAATAATATTTTAAATAATTTAAATATAGCTTTTTTATTATGTATATTTTAATGAAAAAAATTATTTAAAAAATCAATTGTATTAGAATGAAATAAATAAGTCTTTTATTTTTTTAACAATTTGATATTATTTTTGTATATGGTTATATTTAATTGGTTTATTTTTATTGGTTTTATTTTATTAGTTTTGGTTTTTTTTAAAGATATATAAGAATAGTATTTATAAAAAAATATTTTATCATTTTATTTAAATTTCTTTATAACATGAAAAACAAATAAAGAAAAGTCTAAATATTACTTTTTTTTATTCCTGACTCTCCCTTACAAAAACCTGCGTGCGTTGGAGTTGCTCGTTTCCACAGTTTTTTGGGTTTCTATAACCACAGCGATATAATTTTCCATTGGCAGCATCAATTGATTGGATTGTGTGACATCATCATTCATGATGTGGCTTTTGGATGTGTGTTTTTTTTGTTTTTTTGCTAAGGATAATTTTAAAACTTACATTCATGGTACTTGCTCGTTAAAATTATGTCTGAAGATTTTATTTTTTTGAATATTGTGCAAAGTGTCTTCATTAAAAAATATGTCTGAAGATTTTTTTGAATATTGTGCAAAGTGTCTTCTACAAAATTTTATTTTTTTTATTAAAAATTAAATTTATTTTATTTTTTAAAAATATATTGATCTTACAAATAATTTTTAAAAAATTAAAATACAAAAAATATTTTCAAAAATAACTATAATCACACTCCCAAACATATAACTAATCATTATTAAAATAAATTAAAAAGTTTATACATGTATTTAAGTAGATAAATTAAAAATTATTTATGTTAATAAATATAAAAAATAAGTATAGACATGTTTATTCAACTTGTGTGGTTATAAATTGAATATTTTTTTAATTAATATTTTTTTATATCAAATAAAAAATATAACTATAAATCAAATATGATGTTTACATAAAAAATAAAATGAATGTTATAAATATTAATAAAAATATATAAAATTTTAAGTTAATTGTTAATATCCTAGAAAAATAAAATAATATTGTAATTACTACAATGAAATATTATTTTTGTCTTTGTATAATATTTTCTGAAAAAAATATAAAAAAATAAATTACAAAAGAACGAAAATAAAAACAAGAAGAATGATATAAATAGACAAAAAGTAGAGTGATAGATATTTTAAATATAAAAAATAATAATTTTTTTCTGAAAAAAATGTTTTTTCCCTGTGTCTATTTTGCTTGTTAACCTCATTTCTAATTCAAGACCAATCCAATCATCAAACCTCACAATTTCAACAAGGTTCCCTGCACTAAATAACAACGGAGCGCTGTCCTGATAATCCTAAAGATCTACGTTCCATTTGCTTGGAAAAATGATAAAAAAAGATGGTTACGTCCAAAAAGGTTCTTAGAAAACAAAAACATGTCCCAAAACAGAGGATTATCCTAACTATCCACACTCTCGAAAGCATAACTGTATTGCTTTCCAGCAAACCAGTACAAATCATGTACCAGTATAAAGATAAATGTGTCTGATTTCTAATGATTTAAACATTACATGAATTCGAGTTCCGATAGAGATGAAAGGCAAGAGTAACGTTGAAGATGAAAGCTACATAGAAAAGCAATTAGAACTAAAAAGTTAATTTTTTATTTTGTGATCTTATATTTCAGTTATATAATTTGCTGGTGATAATCATTAAAAATTTATATATTTATTAAGTTTAATATTTGTAAAATTAACGAAAAGGTACGTGTAAATTAACCTGTATATCTATATTAATAAAAAATATAAAAAAAAACATGAAATATTTAATAATAGAATATAGTTTTAGATTTAAATCATAAATTCACAATTTTATTTAAAAAAATTAAAATACACAATGACTATTTTTTTATAAGATTTATAAAATCTGAAAACTTTCAACTATTAAAAAAAAACCATGAATCTAAAATAAATCCTCACACAAATTGTTTGTTGTCACAATAAATTTTTTAGATAATTAATTTTATATTTTATAAAATTACATAATAATTTAATACTACCCCAATAATAATAATAATAATGTTTTTTAATATAAGGTATTACACGTTAGTTTTCGCAGACCAAACTAATATGTTTGGTTTGAAAATGTAGTGCTTTTTTATTAAAAATATAATATTTTTTAAACACCAACTATATCTTTAAAAATTATAAAATTATATTTTTAATTTAAAAAAACACAAATTACCTCTCGTTCAAACACCCTCTAAGTTTCTCCAGGACGGAACCAGCCTTTACACAGGGTACTTTGCGCCCTGCACCCTGTGGCCCCAATAGTTTTTCTATCGCGGGAGAATTCAAACATGAGACCCGAAGGGAGCAAACTCTCAGGCCTCATCTGATATCCGCTAGGACAACCCTTTAAAGCTAATAATAATAACAACAATACCCTACTATAACCTATTTAAAAAAATTAAAATAAAACAAATTTCCATGATTTGAACTGGTGGCCTTGTTCAAACTTCTATTGAACAAAATTAAAAATAAGAATTTAGAGAAAAAACAAAACAAAAGGATGAAAAGGAATTGTTAGAAGATACTTCAGTGGGAAATGAATAAATAAACACTTTGGTAGTGTTTTTTTTTTTTTTTTTTTGCCTATTATTTGTCCAGAAAAAAGAAAATGATAAATGATAGAAGGGTGCCTTTTAATATTTTCAATCTGCACCTTATGTGGAACCAAAGCAAAGTCTCCTTGGCCTGAGATGTTTCCTTCCTCTGATCTCAAGACATAAACCAGACAACATCGTCTCATGCAATGTATTTGAAAACTTGATTTAGAAATATAAACTTTAATATGATAGTAAAAATGATATTTTTATTTAGTATTTTTTCAGTGTTGTGGTAGTGATTGTAAACATATTTAAATATTTTTTTATTTTTTTAAATGTCACCCTCGGATGTCATCTGGTCACTTTCGGGTGTCATCTGATCTCTGACATGTATTCCACTACGTTATGATAATATGTTCAGTATGTATATGTATATGTATATGTATATCATTCTACTACGTTCACTACGTTATGATAATATGTTCAGTATGTATATGTATATGTATATCAAGATAAATCATCTGACAAATTATTAATATGAAAATATCTAAAATGTATATTAAATATTATTCCTTCACTGAGTTGGTTGAACTCACCCCTCATTCTTAATATTATTTCAGGTTCTTAGTTTCTGATAGCAGTTGGACTTTGTTGAGTGTTCCTACTTCTTCAGTTTTGGGTCGGTATGCCTTGCTTATTGTTCAAGGTTGTTTTGATTCGAAGTCTTAGACGCTCCACTATTACTCTGTTTTAATTAAGTTTGGATTTTGACAATGTAATGAGTATTATGAATTATTATTTTGTTTTAATTACTGATGAAGAGTTTTGACTATCCTTTGATTTCATCAGCTTTGAGTAATATAATATTTCTGAAGATTATGAAATGCTGCGTATTTTTGAATATCTATTATTTTGATATGTATGTTTTGAGGCTTAGCGTAGGTGGGGTGTCCTTTCGACACTCCTCCGGCGTTGCCGGTCATGGACTCGGGATTTGGATCGTGACAATAAATGTGTTTGATTTCTAATGCTTTAAACATTACATGAATTCGAGTTCTGATAGAGATGAAAGGTAAGAGTTATGTTGAAGATAAAAGCTTTGTAGAAAAGCAATAGACATTTAGTGGTAAAAGTTTAGGATTAAAAAATTTATTTTTTTATTTTATATTCGAGTTTTATTATTATTATTATGATAATTATTAAAGATTTATATATTTATTAATTTCAGAGTCTAAAGAATTAATTAATGAAGATATATGTAAATTAGTTTAAATATCAATATTAATAAAAAAAATACAAAAAAAAACATAAAATATTTAATAATAAAAGATAGTTGTAGATTTGAATCATAAATTCATAGTTTTATTTTAAAAAATAAAATATGTGATAAATATCTCTTTATAAGATTTATAAAATCTTTAAATAGACTAAAAAAACTTTCAACTACTATCAAACAACCAGGAATCTAAAATAAATCCTCACACTAATTGTTTGTTGTCACAATAAATTATTTAGATAATTAATTTAACATTTTATAAAATTACATAATAATTTAATACGACCCCAATAATAATAATAATAGTTTTTTTTTAATACAAGGTATTTTGCGTTAGCTTTCGCAGACCAGACTCAGTTTCTGCAGGACGGAACCAGCCTTTACACAGGGATACAAGGTACTTTGCACCCTGCACCCTGTGGCCCCAATAGTCTTTGTCGCGGGAGAATTCAAACTTGAGACCTGAAGGGAGCAAACTCTCAGGCCTCATCTGATATCCGCTAGGACAACCCTTTAAAGCTAATAATAATAACAACAATACCCTACTATAACCTATTTAAAAAAATTAAAATAAAACAAATTTCCATGATTTGAACTGGTGGCCTTGTTCAAACTTCTATTGAACAAAATTAAAAATAAGAATTTAGAGAAAAAACAAAACAAAAGGATGAAAAGGAATTGTTAGAAGATACTTCAGTGGGAAATGAATAAATAAACACTTTGGTAGTGTTTTTTTTTTTTTTTTTGCCTATTATTTGTCCAGAAAAAAGAAAATGATAAATGATAGAAGGGTGCCTTTTAATATTTTCAATCTGCACCTTATGTGGAACCAAAGCAAAGTCTCCTTGGCCTGAGATGTTTCCTTCCTCTGATCTCAAGACATAAACCAGGCAATGGTATCGTCTCATGTTTACCACGTTTTGCATAGACCAATAAACTACCGTGATGCATGCTCCTTCTTTTTTAAAAAAAAAAAAAGTATCTAGAAAATTGCAAAAAAAAAAAAAGGGACAAAGAAACATGATGAGGTGTATACGTAGAAAAATAAGAACTTTCTAAATTAATATAAATGAATGCAAGCAGTATTATGTAAAGTTTATATAAAAATATAATAAAAACAAATATAAAACAAATCCATCTAATTAACAGGTGAATCTAAATATAATAATTGATTATATCATTTAATACATTCCCTCAAATCTATAATTACTTAAACCAAATCACAAATTATTATGAATTTAATAATAACAATAAGATTTTGGTGTTGGTAAAATGAGAATAAATTTCCAAAATGGCTCATGCATTGTATTTGAAAACTTGATTTAGAAATATAAGCTTTAATAGGATAGTAAAAATGATATTTTTGTTGAGTATTTTTTTAGTATTGTAGTAGTAATTATTTTTTAAAATACTTTTTATTTGTAAATACATTTAAATATATTTTTTTAAATTTATTTGTTATATTAACACATTAAAATAATTAAAAAAATATAAAATAAATTAATTCTTAATAAAAATAATATTTAAAAATTTTAAATACAGGCGATCATCAACATTCTCAAACACTTCTTAATTTAGCCGCAAGCATATCTAACCCTTCATTTTCTTTGATAAAACTATATAATTAAAAAATTATGGGCATGTTTGTTTTTATAGTTGAGGTTGAGGGTTGTACATGGAACTTATTAAAAAAATTAGAAAAAACAAGAAAAACTAGTTTTTATAATTGAATTTTATGTATAATTAGAGTATATCCAACCTTACCGACAAAAACAAACATATTCATAAATATGTTCGTGAAACATGATGTAAAGGAGGTAAGCACTAATAGCATGGAAAAGAGCCAAATGACTATTGAGCTCCGACCATATAATATTCTACAATTTAGATGGGCTCTTTGAATTTTTTCCCCCCTTAACAACCAGCTAGAAAATGCATAAATAAATAGAGGACTACTTCCTTGTTTTTATTTTTTAATAGTCTTTTTTTTTTTGGAACTCAATAGAGGACTTCCCAATTATGAGGTGTTCGTCAGAATTACTTATTGTCTATGTTGAATTATAAGAAATTATAGAGAAATTTGAATTTTAAATATTTGATAAATTCCACAAACTGCTGGTGTAAGAATAAAAAGTTTTGCAAATTAAATTAATTAGTCAACTTGGTAATGTTGCTAATTGTGGTATTATTGTAGATTGTAATTAAGTGGGTTCAATTCTTTTGTTATCATTTCAAACTCGAAATCGTGAAAGAAAATTGACCCAATGACACCATGACACTTAAGAAAAAGTATTTTTATTATTAGACAACATGGATTCACAATATATATATATAATGAATGTACGCTATACTTGTTAAGATTTCAGAATTTTGAATTATAAAAGTATCAATTTAATATTTGTAGGTATTTTTTTATTAATATTGATATGTTTATGTTTATGTTAAAAACATAAACTTGGTATAAAAAATATTAATTCAATATTTTAATTTTTAATTTAAATACATTTTTTAAAAAAAATTACATCACATTACCACGCTAAAATGTATTGGAGTTGTAATTTTCAATTACCTAATATTGATAATATAATAAGTAATTGGTTAAAAATCATGTTATTTTGATAATTACATGTTTGCTAACCAAAATATTATTTTTATCTCTATGAATTAGTCACTGGTTAGTGTAAACAAAGATTGAGGATAACGTAAACTGTTTGTGTTTGCAGATTATTCATCACATCAAGCATGGCTTCGAAGTTTTTTTTTAATTATAAATATTTAGATCAGTTTAGTTTATATGTAATTTAATTAATTTTTTTATATTTTAAAATTAATAATTATATAAATTTCTAATGATTCAAAGAAACTAATAAAATTTAAAAAATAAATTTAAAAGTTTATAAAACTGAAACTAATAAAATTTAAAAAATAAATTTAAAATCTAATCAATTAAACTATACTCTTTAATATTAAATAAATAGAATGGAGGCCAATGCCTATATATATCCTGTCCTTGCATCATCAGGAATAGCTACAATACCGTGTCAAAAAAATCCAAATTATTTTTCTGATGAACGCACAGCAATGTTCAGATTGAGATAATCTGTTTACAACTTTTACCTCATCGAAAACTTCAAATATGTCCAAGTTGGGCAGATGGATGGTGCATGCTACTGTTTTTCCTGTGTCCACTGTGCTCATAACAGTTTTCATCACAATTGCAGCAGCTCTAGCATCTAGTCCTGAAGTTCGCTCGTCCATGAATTATAGAGGGATTTGCATGAAGTTCCAACTGCAATTGTTAGCCGCTTGAGCTGCTCAGTGGATAGACCAATATTCGCACCAGGCAACCCAACTAGTGCTTGCTGCAATGGATTCAACTCGACAAGGTCCCTGACTTCATCAATGAACATCTGACACCAAAGTTCGCAATACAAATAAATACGAAGGTCATTCGGTGTAAGCCTTTTGTTTGGTGATCCATGGATGAATTGAATGGAAGTTTCCAGTAACGCTATAAATAAGACAAGAACTTATAATTTGTTAGAACGAAGAGGACCATTACAATTTTTTCGAAGGATAAATTTTAAAAGTAGACGTGCCAGGTGAGCTAGCCATTCAATTAGCTTGGCAAGCTAAAAGCACTAGAAAGAATTAAAAAAAAGTTAGTAGTAACATAAACTTTGAACTTGATCTGAAAAATAGATGTTTGATATGCAAATGAAAGACTATAGATGCCTACCTTTCTAGTTTCAGCATCAATTTCGAGGGGTCGACGAAGCCAAGCTGAATAGAGCAGGAAGTAGATTGGCTTGTTATACCATTTAGATCACAAAAAACCCCTTTTGCAAGTTTCCAATGAAGTAATTCAACATTCTTGTTTACCTTACAACGTTTGGATCAAATCCAATTACATAATAGGTTAGGAACACCAATCCAAAAACTTCGATGAATGAGAGAGGGATTTTCAGGACGAATGGAGGAAGAGAGAATATGCCCATGAAGGATAGAATCGGATGTCCCTTTGCTTATAAAACACCGGCAGCTTTGCAATGGTCTGAGATATCTCAGACATACCATTAAGCATGATTGACATACTTGCCTGTGTTGGTTAGGGTCAATGATGAGTGAATTTTAGTGCATCTCGTAGACACACTCCTAGACGCCACCCACGGATGAGAAATCATTCTCAAGAGCTAAATCACAAGGAAAAGCCCGCCAACTCAAGATCCTACAAACAATCACATACTTGCCTGTGTTGGTTAGGGTCAATGATTTCCAGGAGGTTCTAGTACTATTCTAACACGAGCACATTTTAACTCCGAAGTTATTATGAAATCTGATCGAGATTCTACTAGCAATCTTATACTTGTATATGGGTTAGGGTGCACGGTGATTTCCAGGATCGGAGGTTCTAGTACTGCTCTAACCCAAGCACGTTCTAACTTCAAAGTTTTTATGAGATCTAGTGTGTTATACTAGATACACAAGTGCAAAAGTACTGTTATACTCCACGCAAAATTCGGAAGAAAAAGAAATCATGGTAATGCAAGAACTGTAAGTAATTACTTGGCAAAGCTTGTAGATGTAGACAAAAGAGTTCCTCTTCAT